GCTGCTGAGGCTGAGAAACCCCAAGGTTGACAAGTAAAAAAGGCACAGTCCCGATGTTACCAAACCACACGGCAGGCCATTAACTTAAGTCCATTTTTAAGTCCATTTTAAGTCCCAAGGTCGGCAGAGCATAGCAGGCTGCTGAGCAATGACAGGGCTACATGCAGGGTCCAAGTGTGCCAAAGGCTAGAGACCATTCTCAAAGCTTCTTCTTATATATAGGAAGCAGACCACATACTCAAAGGCAACTTCAGCTGCTCACAGTAGATTCCACCATGGAGTTGATTAGCAGTCTCATCATGAGGAATACTGCATTCAGCTGCCAGCCACTCAGCCAGGCCAAGCCAAGCTGACACACAAACACAACCACCATAAGAGATAAAAAAGGAAATTAAAAAATTCCTTGAAACAAATGAGAATGAAAACACACACATCAAAATCTTCTGGACACAGCAAATGCAGTGATCAGAGGGCAACTTATAGCAATAAATGCACACATCAAAAAAAAAAAGAGCCAAAACCAAAATTGTAACCCAACATCTCCAACAATCAGAAAAAGAGCAGGGGGGGGGGGGCAGGGAACAACAACAAAAAAAAACACCCCTACAGTCATCAGAAGGAAATAGAAAAGGCGATAGAAAAAATTTACAAAACTAGAAGGTGGTTTTTTGAAAAGATTAATAAAATTGACAAACTAACAATGCGAACAAAGGAAAAGGAGGAGAAGATGCAAGTAACATGAAAAGAAATGAAATGGGTGATGCCACAACAGAACTAACCATATTAAAAAATGAAAATATTAGGATATTATGAAAAATTGTACTCCAACAAATTTGAAAACCTAGAAAACTGCACAGATTTCTAGAACACACTACTTACCTAAACTAACACAGAATGTGGCAGAAAATTTGAATAGACTCATAACAACAGAAGAAATTAAACACGTTATTTTAAAAATTACCAAAAACAAAAACAAAAAAAGAGAAGGCTGGCCCAGACAGTTTTACTGAAGAATTCTACTAAACATTCAGAGAAGAGCTGACACTCATCCTACTCAAACTATTCCAGAACATAGAAAAGGATAGAATCCTCACAAATTTATTTTATGAAGCAAGTGTAACCCTGATACACAGGCAAAAACACCACTAGAAAGGAAAACTATAGACCAGTTTCTCTCATGAATACAGACATAAAAAAATCTTCAAAAAACTACTAGCCAACAGACTCCAACAACATAAAAAAAAATAATACATCATGACCAAGTGGGGTTCATATCAGGTATACAAGGATGGTTCAAATTCAGAAAAATAATCTATGTAATCCATCACATAAATAAAGGAAAAGAACCATATGATCATATCAATCGATGCAAAAAACCCAACACCCACTCCTGATAAAAACTCTCAAAAAAACAGGAATAGAAGCAAAATTCCACAACAAAATAAAGGGCATATATGCAAAACCAACACCCAACATTATTCTCATTGGAGAGAGACTGAAACCATTCCCCTGTGAACAGGAATCAGATGAGGATGCCCTCTATCACCACTTCTATTCAACATTGTATGAGAAGACTTAGCGAGGGGAATAAGGCAAGAAAGGAAAAGCAAATGCATCCTAATTGGTAAGGAAGAAGTAAAACTATCCCTATTTGCAGATGATATGATCCATACATAGAAAACCCAAAAGACTCAGCAAGAAAACTAATGGAACTAACTGAAAGATTTAGCATAGTGGCAGGACACAAGATCAATAAAGAAAAATCAGCTGGATTTCTGTATACCAGCAAAGAGGTATCTGAAAAGGAGATAAGGAAATCAATACCATTTACAATAGCTACCAAAAAGATAAAATACTCAGGTATAATCTTACTAAAGACACAAATACCTATATAAAAAAAACTATAAAATATCACATCAAGAAACTATAAGAGATCTACAACACAGTGGCACTGAGGAAGAGGAAGACACAGACAGGTACACCACAGGTACAGACAACAAAGATAAATCCTTTTACATGTACAATACTGTGTTGTCAGTGATAACAAACATTAATCTACAGGTAAGTAGATGGGTAGATAGGCTGAATAATCAGATATAGCTAGGCAAAAGGGAATACCCATGACCATATATAAGGTTGGTAGATGATATTTCTACATACATATTTGTATGAGCTTTAAGAATGTCCAAACATATAATGGAGCTAAAGTTATGATAACTTCTTGGCCACAGCCAACTACCCTGAGGCACTGAGTTGTTGGACCTATGGGCTCGGGACCATGGTCACAGGGGACATCAAGCTCAACTGGCATAACACACTGCACAAAAACATTGTTCTACATGCTACTTTGGTGAGTAGTGACTGGAGCTTAAAAGCTTACAAGCAGCCATTTAAGATGCAACAATTGGTATTTCCTCATCTGGAGCAAAGAAGAATGAAGAAAACCAAAGATGCATAGAAACAATTAGTCCAAGGGACTAGTGGATCATGTGAACCTCAGCCTACATGACCCTGAGACCAGAAGAACTAGATGGTGACCAGCTACTACTGTTAACCACTTGGAAAGGGATCAAAATAGGAGATTCTGGATAGAGTGGGAGAAAAAATGTGGAACAAAACTCAAAATCATAAAAAAGACCAAGCTTATTGGTCTGATGAAGATTTATGAAACCCCTAAAACTATGGCCCCTAGTTACTCTTTGGGTCTGGAATTGGACTCATTCTTGTGGTTTCCAACCGTACAATACACAGGTATATAAGGTGAACATTTACACCAGATACGTACACTCCTTAGAACAATCCACCATGGGAGATCAAAACAAAAAAGAAAAAAAACAAACTCATTGCCATCGAGTCAATTCTGACTCATAGTGACCCCTTTTGGGTTTCTGAGATGGTAAATCTTTATGGAAGTAGATTGCACAATCTTCCTTCTGCGGAGTGGCTGGTGGATTTGAGCCTCCGACCTTCTGGTTAGCAGTCAAAGCCTTAGGCACTACGCCACCAGAGCTCAGAAGGGCAGTATTTACACACAGAGATAGCTTAGAGGGCAGCAATGCATAGGAAAGAAGGACACAGGGAAAAGGTAACCACAGGGAGGAAGTAGGAAGAGAGCTATTATATTACAGGGATTCAATGTCATGAAACAAAATGTTTATGAACTATTATATGGAAAATGAATTTGCTCTGTAAACTGTTACCCAAATCTCTCTCTCTCTCTCTCCTTCTCACACACACACACACACACACACACAGAAAGAAAGCAAGCCAGCAAAAGGGCTGAGAGTAATACCCTTGTCTCTAATGTTGATGGGGTTATTTACCCGCTGGGCCCAAGAGGCTTTGAGGCTTGCAGACTTTCCTGAGGGTGTGGCAGGAGGGACCTGCATCTTTGTCTCCATTGTTCTGTACTGTTTACTTGCAGGATGTGTAAGCATAGCATGTAATGTAATAGCAGATGTTCTGCGTAGGAGGAATTTCATAACTCATATACTTGAGCACTTTTTTTTTTTTTTTAAACTGCACCCAGCTCCTTTAATTGGGCACAGAAATGTATATCTGCTTCCCAAACCACTACCAAGTCCCTCAGTCCTACAGGAGATATTTCTGGTCCTTTGGTATTTTTCACTTTTGGCTGAAGAACATATTTGTCTGTTTAATGAAAGCATCATGTAAGTTATTCTTCTTTTTTCAGATGGGGTCCAATCGGGGTGGCCTAGAATGTCCCTGGATTATCTGGAAGCCACAGGTTCTTTGGCCTGGATTTCCAGGCCTCTATCTGCTGACAAAGGTCTCACAGTCCAACCTCACACCCTACTCTCCAGCTGGTAGTCTTGCTTGTGACAGAGTAGCCGGCTCTCTCCTCCACCTTGGTGTCTCTGCTCAGTTAGCTTTCCACTCCTGGAATGTCCTATCTAGTCCCTTCCCTCTCTCCAAATCTTGGCCAAACTTCAAGACCCAGCTCAGGCCCCACCTCACATCAGCCCACTGGACTTGCCCTTCTCTGCACTCCCACAGCACACAGTCTCAGTGCCAAGTGAATTGGGCATCTCACTTAAAAAGTGTGCATGTATGGTATGTACTAGTCCTGCTTCCACACTCATCTGAGGGCAGGAATGGACCATCACTTAAAGTTTTCTGAATTCCCTATGTGACCTAGGAACAGATGTGGATGAATGATTTGAGCTTCAGGTAGTCCCTGGTTAGTGCAACCAGTTAAAATGATCAGCTGCTAACCAAAAGATGAAGCTTCCAGTTTACCCAGACGTATCTTACAAAGAAGATCTACTTATGAAAAATCAGCAATTAAAAACCCTGTGGAGCACAGTTCTATTCGGACACACACGGGGTCACCATAAGTTGTAATCGACTCTACGGCAATTGGGTTTTTAAAGATTTTTCTTACTAGTCCTAACTCTTTGACACCTGATGGTGCTCTCTACCTCATACTCTTTGGTTTTATTTTCCAATATGCTCATTTTTTCTTCTACACAGTTACATGTAAACCTTTCATTTAAGAGATGCTGAATAGAAAGAAAAGATGATTTTTTTCCCTTGACTGTCTCCACCAAAGAGGGAGCATAGCTATGGATTTTAGTTTGGGGTCCATGAGATGGAGAACCACACAGATCTGAGAATACTCACAGTTGCTATGACATTTCACCCCAGCCGCCAACACTGCTCTAAATGGGCTGGGGAACACTCACCTCTGTTGAAAGGCTTTCTGGCCCATCTCTCTTGCAGCTCGCTGCACCTCCTCAGGAACAGCATCTTTCTCAGCCTCAGACACCTGGTACACTTCATGGCCTGCATCTAGCCGGTAAGGGCCTCCTTTGCCACCCAGACCTGCAGTGTCTCTTCCGCCTGGAAGGAAAATGATGAAAGTCCCCATGGTTAGTCTGATTCTGAACACAAAACAAAAGTTAGACTATGCCTTTAAGACAGACCCATTAAGTATATTAAATGCATTTAATTAGTAATTAAACACTCAAATGACTTTTTTTCCTGGAAAAATAGTGTTCTCCTAGTTAGAGATGCTTGTTCTTTTCTCCATCCATCCAAATCATACTCACATTCCAAAGAAAACCAAACCAAACTCACTGCTGTCAAGTCAGTCTGACTCATAGCGACCCCTCCTTGGGTTTCCAAGGTGGTGCCTCTACGGCAGTAGACTGCCCGATCTTCCTTCTGAGGAGTGGTTGGTGGGTTTGAACCCTCAGCCTTCTGGCATAGTGCAAATTCGATGACGACTTATCTGATGGCTCTGCCTTATAATGGTCAATGGTCTCCTGTACTATTTGTTACTTTTTGATATTGACTTTCTTTTTTCACTAACTATAAGATAGAAAGAATCGTATTTTATATATCTTTGTACTTCTGCACCAATAAGAGTGGCTTGGAACATCATGGACACTTATAGTACACATTTTTACTAGCATTTCTGTTAATTAAAATGAGCTATACTTCTCTTCTCTCATATATTACCTTATTTTTCCTTAAAATACCGAGAGATAGCTAGGCAATAGATACTGTTCACAAATGGTAAAAAAAATTATGCATAAAGAAGCTAAGAGACCTATTCATGACTAATGTCAGTGAATTAGCCAAGATTAAGGCCCTGATGCAAATAGTTAAGTGCTTAGCTACTAACTGAAAGGCTGGCAGTTCAAACCCACCCAGAGATGCCTTGGAAGAAAGGCCTGGTAATCTGTTCCCAAAAGATCACAGCCATTGAAAACTCTATGGAGCAGTTCTACTCAGAAACACTTGTGGTTACCATGAGATGGAATCTATGACAGCAACTTTTTTTTTTTTTTTTTAGCCAAAATTAGAAGCCAATTATTATACTAACTTTGACTTAGAGAAAAAACTCTCCAACTCTACCAAAAAAAAAAAAAAGCTAAAAGATTTATTGAAAGTACAAGAATGCTCAAACGGGAAATGCGACTTCTAGCATGTAGAGACCACGAATCCGAGGGCGTCTGTTTCATGAGGACAGACTCAGGACTAACAGTATATTCTGATTGGCTTTGTTGTTGTTGTTAGATGCCATCCAGTCATCTCTAACTCATAGCGACCCTATGCAGAACAGAATGAAACACTGCTTGGTCCCATGCCAGCTCCATGATTCTTGCTATACTTGACCCCATTGTTGCAGTCACTGTGTCAGTCCATCTCGTTGAGGGACTTCCTCTCTTTTGTCGATCCTCTGCCTTACCAACCATGATATCCTTCTCCAGAGAATGGTCCCTTCTGACAGTATGACCTGGTAGGTGAGACCAGTAGGTGAAATGAAGTCTGGCCATTCTTGCTTCTAAGGAGCATTCTGGCTGTACTTCCTCCAGAATAGATTTGTTAGTTCTTTTACCAGTCCATGGTACTTTCAGCATTCTTCACCAGTACCACAACTCAAAAGCATTGACTCTTCTTTGGTCTTCCTTATTCATTGCTAGCTCTCACATGTGTATGAGGCAACTGAAAATACCATGGCTTGTGCCAGGTGCACCTTAGTCCTCAGGAGACATCTTTGCTCTTCAGCACTTGAAGGAGGTATTTTGCAGACCATTTGCCCAGTGCTACATGTCATCTGATGTCCGACTGCTGCTTCCACTGGTGCTGACTGCTGCTTCCACTGGTGTTAATTGTACAACCAAGTAGTATGAAGTCTTTGACAACTTCAATCTTTTCTCCACTTATCCTGATGTTGCTTATAGGTCTACTTGTGAGGATTTTTGTTTTCTTCATATTGAGGTGTAACCCATACTACAGACTGTAGTCTTCAATCTTCATCAGTAAGTGCTTTAAGTCATCCTCACTTTCAGCAAACAAAGCTGTGTCATCAGCATATCTCAGGCTGTTAATGATTCTTTCTCCAATCCCAATGCCACATTCCTCTTCATGTAGTCCAGCTTCTTGGATTATTTGCTCAGCACACAGATTGAATAAGTATGGTGAAAGGATACAACCCTGACACACTCTTTTCTTGATTTTAAACCACGCACTGTCCCCTTGTTCTGTTCAAATGACAGCCTCCTGGTCTATGTACAGGTTCCTCATGCATACAATGAAGTATTCTGGAATTCCCATTCTTCTCAATGTTACCCTAATTTGTTATGATCCACACAATCAAATACCTTTGCATAGTCAATAAAACACAAGTAAACATCTTTCTGGTATTGCTTTGACCCAACATCCATCTGACATGAGCAATGACGTCCCTCTTTCCATGTCCTCTTCTGAATCCAGCTTGCATTTCTGGAAGTTCTCTGTAAATATACTGTTATAACCTTTTTTGAATTATCTTCAGTAAGATTTTACTTATATGCGATATTAATGATATTATTTGATGATTTTCACATTCTGTGGGATCGCTTTTCTTTGGAATGGGTGCAAATATGGATCTCTTCCAACCAGTTGGCCAAGTAGCTGTCTTCCAAATCTCCTGGAATAGCCGAGTGAGTGCCTCCAGTGTGGCATTCGTTTATTGAAACATCTCAATGGGTATTCCGTCAATTCTTGGAGCCTTGTTTTTCCTTATTTCCTTCAATGCAGCTTCAACTTCTTCCTTCAATACCATTGGTTCTTGATCATATGCCACCTCCTGATATGGATGGACACTGACCAACCCTTTTTGATACAGTGACTCTGTGTATTCCCTCCATCTTCTTTAGATTTTTCCTGCATCATTCAATATCTGATTGGCCAGCTAATGGAAGTTCTTTTGATTGGCTATTTTTGGTAAATCATTAAGGCATGCCAGGGCAAGTTCTTTGTGTAAGGACAGGTCAGGCAAATTCCCTCTGAAAGCACCTTTCTTCATACTAATTAATCTACTTTCAACCATATTCTTCCTGATGGCAAGCTACCCTCCTTTGTTTACCCACCAACAGTCATGGGTCAACTTTTCAGAAACAGAAGCAGAGGGTAGGAAAAAATGGAGCTTGATTCAGATTTGTGTAAGCCACCCCCATTTTTGGAGTGTCCTTACATATTTCTTCCTCTTTTTTTATTGTGATTTGGGTGAAAGCTTACAGACCAAATTCATTTTCCATTCAATAGTTCATACACATTTTGTTTCATGACATTGATTGCAATGCCTATAATGTAATAGCTCTTTTCCCACTTTCTCCCTGTGGTTACCTTTTCCCTGTGTTCTTCTTTCCTAAGCATTTCTGCCCTCTGAGCTATCTCTGTGTGCAAATACTGCCCTGCTGATCTCCCACACTGGACTGTTCTAAGGAGTATAACTGTCTGGTAAAAAGTTCACCTTGTAGGGCTCTCTATTGTTTGGCAGGAAGCCACAGGAGTGCATTCAACTCCAAGCCCAAAGGGTGGCTAGGGGCCATAGTCTTGAGGGTTTCACCAGTCTCTATCAGACCAGTAAGCCTGGTCTTTTCTTTATGATCTTGAGTTTTGTTCCACATTTTCTCCTACCCTATCCAGGATCTTCTATTTTGTTCCCTTTCCAAGTGGTTGACAGTGGTAGCTGGACATCATCTAGTTCTCTGGTCTTAAGGTTTTGTAGGCTGAGGTTCACATGGTCCACTAGTCCACTGGACTAATTATTTCCTTGTGTCTTTGGTTTTCTTCATTCTTCTTTGCTCCAGACAAGGACAGATCAATTGTTGCATCTTAGATGGCTGCTTACAAACTTTTAGGGCCCTTGTCACTACTCACCAAAGTAGGCTGTAGAACGATGGTTTTGTAGGATGATATGCCAGTCAAGCTTGATGTCCCTAGTGACCATGGTTTGGGGCTGTGGGCCCAGTGACTCACTCCCTCAGGGTGTTTAGCTGCCTTACAGATTTCTTGAGAGTATCTCGCACAATGGGTTGTGATAGCCCTGTGTCAAAAAGCCCTAATAGAATATGCTGTTGACAAGCTGGTGTCCTCTGTCTTAACTAACCATAGGGCAAACATTCTTTAGTAAAGGCTTTATCTGTGTAGAAGTTAACAGCCTGTTGGCAAGAAGCAGAAGAACATACCCTAGGTAAGCCATTTTATATGGTCAAAAACTCAAAAACCAAATTCACTGTCATCAAGTTGATTTTCATAGACACCCCATCAGGTTTCCAAGGTAGTAAATCTTTATGGAAATAGATTGCCCCATCTTCCTTTCATTAGCAGTCAAATGCCTTAACTACTACACTATCAGGGCTCCTTACATGTGGTCAAGGTCCTATAATTTGGACTCCACTTTTAGCTTAGAACAATTTATAACAGATACACGTTGTCAGTTTCAGAGGAATTTTTCAATATAAGGCCAAGTTCACATGTTTTTAAGTATATATTATGTTGCTGTTGTTGTGTTTGCTATAGAGTCGAATCCGACTTATAGCGACCCCTCCTTGGGTTTCCGAGGCAGTATCACTATGAAAGTAGATTGCCCAACCTTCCTTCTGAGGAGTGGCTGGGGGGTTTGAACTGCCAGCCTTCTGGTTAGCAGTCAAATGCCTTAGGCACTATGCCACCAGAGCTCCCTATATATTATGTAATGGTATATAAACTTTTAGTATTATAAATATAAAATAAATGCCTATAAGACCAGGTAAATAATGTAAACAAGTGGGCTGGGTGTAATATGATTAAGAAGTGGTGGAGACTTTGGCTAACTAAAGACTTGTCTTATGTAAATACACTCAAATTCAATTTATTTAAAAATATTTTGCATGGGAGCTCTGGTAGTAAATACACTCAAATTTAAATTATTTAAATATATTTTGCATACCAAAGAAAATACTTTTGTTGGCTAGATTTGGCCTTTGGGCTACCAGTTTATTACCTCTGTTTTATACTGATTTAAATACTAGGAGCCAGTTTCTTTTGTTCATCTATACATGTCAGGGCTTGGGAATTTATAAGAGAATCCAATATTGGAGGCATGGCATAGTATTATAGGTAAGCAAGGCCACCTGAGTTTGAATCTTGGCTCTAATCTAGCCATGAGTCAGTCCTTGGGGATGTTACTTAACTTCTCTGTGTCTCAGTTCTCTTTATCTGTAAAATGGGGAAAATAATATTATTTACTTCATGAGACTGTTATGAGGCTAATCTGGTTCATAATAAGAGCTATATAAATGATTGCTCCTATTATTATTATATTTAAGCAACTCCCAGTCACACAGAATGAGGTAATTTTTAGTTGCATAAAGTGGAAATTTTGGAAGCTTTTAGACTTTGGTTAAATTACGTTGCATTTTTCTTTTCTCCCTTGGGTGCTTCACTGGTCTAATAAACTGAAGGCAGGGACTCAGCACGGACTTATGAAAGTCCAGGTAGGTCATTTCCTTTTGGAAAATACCACATGAACAGCCTATAAATTACAGTGCTTATGCCTTTTGGCTTGAGCACATCATTTCATTTTTATTTAGAAACTGGTGGTGGAAAATTCCTTCTCAGATGTGTGTGATTCCTGGCTGTCACTGGGGACCAGTAACTAGACAATGACGATGAATTGTGATTTGACTCTCTTCCTATAGGAAGTTGTCCTTAGGATGAGTGGTTAATGAATTAGTTTAAAATTTCCTTGGCACTGAGATGGCATCATTTTAGTGAAAGGAGAAGGACTCACAACTGTTTACAGGCTGGTGCGAGAGATAATTAGCACGAGCCCATGACCCCCCAGGAAAGTCATATTGGGTGCAGTGGGTGAGAAGAGAGAATTCCTCACGACCACCATTTCCTAGTGCCTTCAATTTGTACTACTTAAATGAAAATGCTACCTAGAATTTCCAGGACTGCAAATCATAATCTTGAGGCTCCCCTTGGACATCACAAATCAGTTCACAAGATTATAGTTGTTGCTGTGTGCCACTGAGGCAATTCCAACTCATAGAGACCTTACAAGATAGAGTAGAACTGTCCCATAGGATTTTCTTGGCTATAATCTTTATGGGAGCAGATTGTCACATCTTTCTACCACAGAGTGGCTGGTAGATTCCAACTTCTGACCCTGCAGCTAGCAGCCAAGTGCTTAACCACTGTGCCACCAAGCTCCTTAAGATAAGGGTAAGGATAGGCAAGGAAGGAGCTTTGATGTGTTGGGCTAGAGAGTTAAGTTCAAACTAGAGAATTCTGAGGGGAAAGAATTACTGAGAGAGAAAGAGAGTTTGAGACAATACACCTTGACAGACAGAAAACTTAAGGCTGGGGGAAGCAAAAGCAGGGTCTTCGGTCTGGAGAGAGATGCTCACTAGTGAATTCGAGTTGAATAATGAACAATCACTTCCTATCCAAAGCAGTCCACTGCTAGCAAACCTACATCTGGCCAGCTTGCTGCAAGAAGCATTCCACATAGATTAAATCTTGCTGTCTTGACATTGATTTCCAGATCAAAGGGCATGTCTAAAAATACTCCTTCTTTAAAGCTGATGCTTGATGAATAAACAGAGTAGGCAAGAAGTCCACAGGCCTATTTGGTAGTGTATTGTCCCAGCACAGAAACTCATTTCCTCCCAAGGCTGCCAAGGGCAAGAGGCACAGACCAAACCAAGGGGAGGCGAAGTAGGGAGCTTGCACCAGCACTCCCGGTGGAGATAAGATCAGACGGTGCACAGTCTGGCCCTATTCCTGCGGCCCAGCAGATGTGTCTGCTCCAGCTGCCACAGAGGAAAGAGGAAGACGGCAGTCATGAGAACAATGCTCTAGTAAGGCAGCCAAGAGGAAGGAGTGGACCACAGCCATCAGTTCAAACTGTCACCAGCTCTCTTATCTCAAAATTCTGCATCCTCACTACACTCACTCCTAAGATGTGGTAGACAAGGACCATTTCTTTGCAAAGTCAAGTTTGTCAGGGAAGCACTCCCATAGATTTCTCACAGGATCCCCAGGGCAGGGAATTTAAAAGGGATCCACACGTTAGTGAATACGTTCTGCAAAGTAGACATGTGCCCAGTGCTTTATAATCATAATCTCATTTAATACTCCCCATGACCTTGTGAAGGAGCCCTGATGGCACAGTGGTGAAGCGCTCAGATGCTAATCTAAAGGTCAGTGGTTTGAATCCACTAGCTGCTCCATGGGAGAAAGATGTGGTAATCTGCTTCTCTAAAGATTACAGCCTTGAAAACCCTATGGAACAATTCTACTCTGTCCTACAGGGTCACTGTGAGTCAGAATTGACTGAATGGAAATAGGTTTGGCGTTGTTTTTTTTTTTTTTTAAATAAGCTTGTGAGGCCATTAATATTATGTCCCATTTACTGATATTTACTGATAAAGCAATTAAGGGAGGGTAAGAACAGTTTTAAATTATAGGGCAGCAGAGTCTGCCAGACACCAAATGCCACATTCTTCCCATGTCTTGATGTTGAGTTGGGCAGAGAGGGTAAGAACACAATCCAACTGACAGAAGGGTGAGGCTGGGAAAGAAAGCTGGCCCCTGGAGCCTTCTCTGGCAGCACGCTGCTGTGTGGCTTGTGAAGCTTTGCAAAACCTGGCCCAGGAGAATGAATGCCCATGCTACCAACCTGTTCCGCCAGCCCAAGTATTGCCACCCACATGGGGCATGTTGTCTGGGTCCTCCTTCCCATGTTTGGGGGTGCTGACATCTTCGCCACTATCTCTGTTGATTGTTATCTAAAAATGAAGAATTGAGACATTTCACTATCCCATGACTATCACCAGGAGTTTGATGACAGAAAAAATTCTATTCCCATAAAGCCTTAATGTAAGGAGCACTGGTGGTATAGTGGTTAAGACATCTGGCTGCTAACCAAAAGGTTTGAACCTACCAGCCACTCCATGGAAGAAAGATGGAGTGGTCTGCTTCCATAATGATTTACAGCCTTGGAAACCCAATGGGGGTCACTATGAGTCAGAATCGACTCTAGGGCATTGAGTTTGTTTTTTTTTTTTTTGGTTTGCAAATCCTTAAGGTATTTCACCTCAGGTCACAAGACACAATAGATGTTAGTATTTGGCAAAAATGCTATCAGATATATGACCCAATTAGTTGGAAAAGTGATGAATTAAATGAAGAAACGGAGCTGGCCTAGATCACAGCTTTAGAATTTTCCTGATGCTGAACATGTCGTAAGCATTTGCTTACACACGGCATCAGACTTCCAGGAGCAGAGGAAGTGGATCTCACCAGAGGCTGACACTTTTTCAATGGTTTAAAAGAATCACTGCTCAAGGGGAGGGAAAACTGCTCCATAGGTAAAAGACAAGCATTGATTTGGGTGAAGGGAAAGATAATATACCAAAAGTGAGTGACCAGCACAATAACACTAAGGAAAAGGAAGACACAGAGAAGTGCACAAGAGGTACAGACAGCAAAGATAAACACTTTCATATACAAAATATTGCATTATCAGTAATAACAAACATTAATCTATAGGTGAATCCATAGGCTGAATGATCAGGTATATCTATGTAAAAGGGAATAGACTCATGATCATATGTAAGTTTGGCAGACAATATTTCTACATACGTATTTGTATGTGCTACGAGAATGCCCACATATATAACAGAGCTAAGAGGGCAAAGTTAAGATAACTTCTTAGCCACAGCCAACCACCCTGAGGGAGTGAGTTGTTGAGCCTGTGGGCTTGGGACCATGGTTGCAGGGGATATCAAGCTCAACTGGCATAACATATTACACAAAAACATTGTTCTACATGTGAGTAATGACTAGGGTCATAAAAGATTGCAAGCAGCCATCTAGATGCAACAATTGGTCTTCCCTCATCTGGAGCAAAGAAGAATGAAGAAAACCAAAGACGCATGGAAACAATTAGTCCAAGGGACTAATGGACTGTGTGAAAGCCTTCATCACCCTGACAGCAAAAGAACTAGATGGTGCCCATCTACCACTATGAACCACTCACAAAGCAATCAGTGTAGGAGATCCTGGATAAAGTGGAAGAATAATGTGGAACAAAACTCTAAATCATAAAATGACCTGGGTTACTGGTCTGATGGAGACTGGTGAAACCTCTGAGACTATGGCCCTTAGTCACCCTTTGGGGCTGGAATCAAACTTACTCCCGTGGCTTCCAGCAAACAATATACAGGTGTATAAGGTGAACATTTACACCAGATAGGTACACTCTTTAGAACAATCAACCATGGGAGATCAGAAGGCAGTATTTGCACAGGGAGACAGCTTAGAAGGCAGGAATGCATAGGAAAGAAGGTCACAGGGAAAAGGTAACCACAGGGAAGAAGTGGGAAGAGAGCTGTTATATTATGGGGATTGCAATGAATGTCATGAAACAAAATGTGTATAAACTGTTACATGCAAAATTAATTTGCTCTGTATGTAAACTTTCACCCAAATCAAAATTAAAAAAAAAAAAATCACTGCCAGTTGTTTCAGCTGAACCACAGACAATATACATTTCTTTATTTCACTTTCAATGAAATTCCATTACTCTGAGAAATGCCATTTTGTATAAAATACATGAAAAGAAAATGTATGTGTGCTTCAATTACATATATAAAGACCTTCAATGAGATGCGTTTACACAATAATTGCAACAACTGGCTCGAAGCTCAGACATAGCAATGATCATGAGGATGGTACAGGGCCCAGCAAAGCCAACATATCAGCAACGAATAATAATATAACACACACACAGTAAGGATGGTTTATTTACTTTCTGAGGCTAACCTGATTTTATTAGGACATTTTGTAGCTTTCCAAATTCATCTTTAGTTTAAAACTGGATTTACTATTCCTACAATTTAAACAGACTAAGCAATGCTTTAGTCCTCTTGTGTAAGAGCCTATAGCAGAGCCTGTGGTTCATAGGTGCTCAATTTCATTCAGCACAGATTCACCAGAAGAATTGCAAACCACCCAGAAATTCCCATCCTAATAGCTCAGTAGATACTACTTCACAATAAAAACTAAAAACATATTTGATATACACTATGAGCCTGAGTACAAGTGTAATAATTTTCAAGGAAAAACAGATCAAATATTCATTCATTTGTTCAAATAAGACTTAGAGAGAATGTTCTATGGGCAGGGTACCATGTGAAGCACTGTGGAGCCTACAAAGCCATGGAGGAAAGGTCACTGTCCTCAAGTTGCTGACTGTGAAACAGGGGAGCTTGTAACAGGCCTGAAACGTGGTGCTAAGTCTGTCTTTAGAGAGGATCCATCCCTTGTTAGTATATGGCTCTTCATTCTTGATGCTGGGATTAATGAGAGTAGATAGGTAATTGAAGTCTTTCTAAATAAAACAGTTATTAAAAATATACTCAACACAACTTCCATTGTCTTATGTCCAGATTGTTGTTGTTATTGTTATGTGCCATTGAGTCGGCCCTGACTCATAGCGACCCCTCCTTGGGTTGCCAAGGCAATATCACTAGGGAAGTAGATTGGCAACCTTCCTTCCGAGGAGTGGCTGGTGGGTTTGAACCACCAGCCTTCTGGTTAGCAGTCAAGTGCCTTAGGCACTATGCTACCAGAGCTCCAGATTAGTTCATTGCAAATGTCAGGACACTGTAAACAGATTTTAATTTCTGGACTTTTCTGCCAATGACTTTGGTATCATCGACAAAGGTTTTGCCATAACTTCAGTATATTCCAAAAGAATTTACCAGCCACAACATGGCAATTGATATGAATTCCACATACACAATCATGCTAAAAATGAGTAAAAATAAATTTCTCTCTTTTTTTTCTTAAGCTATGCAGAATACTTAGCATATGTGGAGAACAAATGAACACTTAAAATACCTTCCCCAAAACTTGCCACCTCTTTCCAATTTGTCCATAGATACTGTAAGAGATATACAGTAAATTGAAATATGTCAACTTTCTGTGATGATGGAAATGTTCTATATTTGTGACGTTCAACACGGTAGCCATTAGCCCAATTCAGCTACCAAGAACTTGATATGTGGCTTGTGCAACTGAGGACCTGAATTTTATTTTATTTTTAATGATA